TGTCGTCAGGCTCCAGCTGAACATCATCCCCAACACCATTCGCTACAGACTCGCTGTCGAAAGTCACCGGATGGGATTGAGAGTTTGGAATTTCCAGCTGGCCCGAATTAGACTCGGAGTCATCGGACTGATCATCAGAACTTTGACCCTTTGAGTCCGAGTCGCCAATGGTGGAGTCCGAGTCGCTGATAGTGGAGTCCGATTCGAGAGTTTTTGCTTGGCCCGGAGCAGAGTTCTGACTGGTTCTCGTCCTCGGTGCCGGATCATCTGCGATTGTCGTCAAAGCTGTGCTCTCTTCCCAAGTCCTGATTCCAGGACAGAGGTCCCATTGATTCGAGCCCACATCATAGACACGTTGATAGGGCTCATAATCTTTCCACACATTGACAGCAAATGAATGTGTTATCGGTCTGCGTATCAAAAAGCCGTCATAAGCATTCCACATGAAAACCTGTGTGTTCTTCGAACTCGGACCCAGTCCTTGCATCTTCATGACATGCTCTTGTCGTTTTTTAAGCTGTGCCTTCTCCTCTGCGGAATTGATCGCCGCGTTGTGTCTGGTGCGCCGCAGGAAAAAATCTTGATAACTCTCGCCAAATCTTTGGCCGCTATTCGGATCAACCGGCGGCATTTCCCGGCGCGGCGGCTTCTTTGGCAGTTCCTCAGCTTGAGCGCACGTTGCATAGAAATCAGCATTGCGGAATACTCCAAATCGGCGCCTAGCGTTGTCGATGAATGTCCATTCCATGATTGCATCTTGGCCACTAAGATTGCGAACTTTCTGTATGTGCTCTGATTGGACAGAAAGGTGGTAACATCGCATGGAGGGAAGAGCATTGAACAACGTGGGATCGGTGCTATTCAAGAAGAAATACAAGGGTACACGAATGTCATTCTTAGGGTTGAGCACGGGTCCGGGTCCGGGTCTCAGAAGGCCGACCCTGACCCTGACCCTGACTAACCCTGACCCTTCCGGGTACGGGTCCAACCGGGTCCGGGTTGACCCACGGGTTGGAGACATAGAAGTAGAAGATGTATTTGGGACAATAATTTCAACATAAGATACATTTTTCTGTATGATATTGGCTCAGATATAGCATATCGAGCCTATTCCTCAATATGTCAAGCATATTTAATACAGTGCACTCATATGTCACATGTCACATGAGTTTTGTCTCTTAAAAACTCACAAAAATCAAGTTTAGATAGGGAATTGTTAAATCACAACAGCTCATTGGACCCTCCGGGTTGACCCTGAAAGGGTCCGGGTTTGGCCGGGTTTAGAAATTGTCATACCCTGACCCTGACCCTGACAGACCCTACCCTGAAACCCTGCGGGTCGACCCTGACCCGTGCTCTACCCTAGTCATTCTTCAATATCATGGAGAATAGCCAATCCAGAGACCGAGCTTTCTTGATTGCTGCTGGGCTTGAAAAGTCCAAGATACCTCCAATGGGTCCCGCGGCAATCTGAAAAACGACTTCTTCTAGTTCGTCCCACAGTGCCGCATCCACTTGACTCTCCTTGATATAGCGTTCACGCCATCCTGGCATTTTAATGTCATTGAGAACTAGAGTCAATAATGTGATAGCCCCAAGCAGCGGGCAAAAAGCATGGAGAGATTGCAAGACAGCTTTGCGTAGATCTTGTAGGGATTCAAGGTCAAAGAGTTGTGTATACCCGAATGTTGATGGTAGAGAGTGCCATGGACAAACGTTAGATTTGAGTTCCGTCGGAGCCGTTGGCGCTTTCATAACATTTTGATCTAACCAAGTCAAGGTTGTTCGCAAAAAACCCTCGAGTCGGAGCCATTGATCACGCAAGTCACCTTTCATACCCCTAACTCGAACATGCTGCGCACCACGAAAATGCGGGACAACAAACTCCTCTTGCGGGGTTTCACCGATCTGAAAGTCCAGCGGATTGTGCAAGATGTGGAAACGAGGCATAAATAACAAGTGAGGTAGGTCCATATTAAGTCAGGCTGTTTTGGCCATCTCGCCGTTAAGCATTTTGTTCGAGGAAGTGGGAGGGGCTTGCCGCTGACTGGGGATGGAGTAAATGACAGCCCAATCGCCGTTGAATACGAAAAAAATTGCGGGCTTATTTCGCACAAGACCGGTATAATGTTTGGGGGAGGTCTTGATAACAGAGGTTAACGTCGAGTACCGGTTTGGTGGGAGCTAAGTTACTTTTGGTCGCTCCTCCTCATCAAGCGCGCGCTGAGAGGTAGCAGCCGCACAAATGAATTTCCGGACGTCGACATTTCGCATGACGCCATGAATGGTTGTTACCCGACGTCTTAGCGTCTGAGCTAGTCTTGAGATCTGAGAAACGGCCCGACCCGACGTCTTAGCGTCTAAGCCAGCAACAAGAGAGGAAGGAAGAGAGTATCCAGCAACAAGGAAGAGAGTGTTCAATGTCGTCGTCGCTCGCTCGCTCGCACAACTTGAGCACGGTGAGAATGTGCTTGCAGCCAACTGTCAGACATGAGAAACGAACAGTGTTCAGCGTGTACCTTCGCAACACGATCCAGACTGAGAAAATGTCAGAATCATGACCTTGGTGCGATGAGGTCTGATGAGGTGTGACGATAGGTGACAATGTGTGTAACGATAGGTGACGATGTGACGACTCGGAAGCTTCCGATTGTTCGTTCGTTCCTTGACACTGCGAGCTGTTGGCGAGCTGTATCCACCAGCCGTGACGGTTTACACACAGTATTTTAAAGCCCTTTCGCGAAACTCTCGGACGTTGCGAGCTGTATCCACCAGCCGTGACGGTTTACACTGTACTTCAGACGCCGCGAGGTGCTCCCTTCCGACCAACTACTTTGAAACGATGCGAATCTACCAGCCGCAGTCGCATGTCCTGCACAAGATCCACGAAACACCAAGAAATCTTCAACTTGGAGAGCGGCAAGTTCTTGGCTTATGGGAGCAATGTGATCCTCATTTTTGGACAGTTATGAAAATGTGGATTGGACTGCGGGATGGGCCTTGTTTAATAAGATGGGCAGTCTCTATGACTGCCATTATCTTCACATAGCGCCCGACACAGGAGGTCAAGGAATCAACCCAACCTGAACTTTCCCCAACTTCGCCAGCCAAGGTTGACGCAGAGTAGCCTGTAATTACTTATGGACCAAAAGAAATAATTGTCGTGAAATAAATGGACAGCGCATCAAGTTGATGCCTCCATCTTTTCGCATGCCTCGACTCCCCAACGTTGTGCGACACACATATTTTGACGACGCCGCTGAGGAGGAATTCAACCACCTACAAGTTCATTATTCTCTGGATGGACAGGCGTGCTGAGCCAGCAGACAAATCCATCGCCTAAAAAAAAAGGCTCGCCTTAATCAAGAGGTCATTGAAACTCAACCTGAACTCCCTGACTGAATGCCATTCCCAGATGCACAACTGGAGGACGTAAGAGAGCTGGTGGATACTGTGTCGTCGTTGGAGATTCAACTAGAAGAAGAATCGATATTGAAGAGAAAACATTATGCATCGGTCGGTTGATACTACGACTTTATACAGAAGCTCATTCCCTTAGGACGATCCTATGGCAATGTGGTAACCACTGACGGCTCTCTTTCTGAAGGAAATGCTACGAAGAGACGGTCTCGGAAACCCTAACGCATGCCAAGAATGTGTGAATTGTCAAGCCAATCATATGGAGGAGACGGGGCTCCGTTTTTTTTGCTGCAAGCAATGTGGGGACAGACTCCATTGTGAGACCTGTGTGGAAGCCGCTCATCAGAAATTGCCGCTCCATGAATTGCAGGTATTTATTTCTTCACCGATTTTGTTACTTGTTTACCTAGCTTGTTTAGGAATGGACGGATCACTTCTGGACGAAGGCCTCCTTGTTTTATGCCGGACCCATCCAGCATGGAGCTCGTGGTTTGGCGGGCTGTTATCAACTTGGTCATGCCGGTGCCCCATGCCCATTCCCTAGTAACCGTCGACTGTTGGTAGTCATCGATGTCAATGGCATTTTTACTTTGGACGTGCAGTACTGTGGCTGCGTGAATCCGTTCGGATTCGACCCTGTCAGACAATTGCTTCGAAATGCGTGGTATCCGGCCACGACAACAAACCCTGCGACCTGTGCAACCTTCAACGTTTTGGAGACATTTCGCTTCCTGCGCTCCATTGCAAACATCAATGTCCAAGACTATGTGCGCACGTTGGAGAAGTTGACGGATTCAACCGGACTGGAAAAGGTCCCAGATCGTCGCGTTGCTTTCGGTCGAATGGCTCGACAATACAGCTATCTTAAAATGATGAAGTGTGGAGGTCGCGGGCATGAAGCCAATGGAATCGTAACTACGCCGCCAGGGGCGTTGGCTGTGCATTGCTGGGCATGCCCAGATGCTTCTCGTAACTTGCCTTCCGGATGGGACAAGGTTCCGGAGTCGAAGGCGTGAGTAGCTATTTAATCAAACTATTCTTGACTAACGAATGTGCAGATACTTGTATAAGCTCATGTTGGCATTCCATGCCAATTTCCACCTGAAGAACAAGCTTCGTGCTGGAGAACGCATGGATCCGGCGTTGACCGATGGCTTGGGATACTTCATACAATCTGGACCATATAAAGAACATATTAAAACGCTCGTTGACGAAAAAGATGTCAGTGCGCTCTAGTCGAATCTATTCCATGTTAATGCGATACTTCAGGTCCAGGCTTGTGCTGCGTTTGCTGCTCTTTTACAGAAGGAGACCAAATTGACCACTGGCCTGAGAGTTTCTGGTGTAGTTGGTTGTGCACGGCACGGCCTCGTACGTCGTCGAGGGATGGGAGACCTTCAACGTGGGAGAACGGCAAGTTGCTTAATGCCAGGAACAACTTGGATACTAACTCATTGTGCCAGCTATGGAAACGTGGATTGGACCGTGCTATCAACTCTGTCAGACGAGGAAGTTCTGTGGGTCTTGCTTGCATACGACATTGTATGTCACTGGCAAGTATACTTTCCTGAGTGCGTCGCATGAATGAAGACAACGGGCGTGGATATCGAAGAGATATTCACCGAATTGGACCGTATTCGCCTGCAATACGGACTGCCGATCTGGTATGCTGAAGCTCATGACCCTAAATGTCGAATTCAGTTTGCGCTTAGGTACTTGTTGGGTGTTGGAAAGACAGATGGGGAAAGCACCGAGCGTTTGTGGAGCCTACCTACTCAATCCCCGCAAGTTGGTCGACAAAGGAAATGGGAGAAGGTGCCCGTGATGATGTCCTGGAGGACAAGATCGACCTGATTAATTTTGAGAAAAACAGGAGCATGGGTCAGTTAAGGTTTCTTTGAGAGTTTAAGCTCACTATTTGCAAGGGCAGACACTTGCAAGACGTTTGATTGTCGCTGTAGCAGAGCGTCAAAGGCAGGGCATTGAATTCCAGGAGCTGGACGACAGCATTCCTAAAAAAAAACGATGTGAATGGGCCAAGATGATGGATGCCTGGTATAAGGATAACACCCAGACGAATCCATTTGAAGTCCAGGGTGGGAAGCTCGGTATGCATGACGTTGAATACCTGTTGTAGCATTGATGACCTGTCTCGACAGCCGGGCCTAGTGAACGCGAAATAAGTGAAGAGTTGAAACGAGCTGAGGTGGAAGATGCACGAGCCGGAATCAAACCTTTGCTGAAAGGTAAAATGACCATGACAGCGTTCATCAGAGCGGGTATGCAGCTTCAGGCCATCCAGTATGTCAAAGTCTTCATTCCACAAACTCTATTCACTATCCCCAGGCGTCGTATACGGACTGCTCTGAAGGCAAAAAAGTCGGCAGATCAAGCGAGCCAGATACAAGAATTACGTCTATCTCTGATCAAACAAATGCGCACCTTCGAAAAACTTCAACTAACTTACATGCCTGGGGTTCAGGGTCTTCGCGACGCAGCACGGTATAAATTGGACGCGGAGAACGCGCAACCGGAAAGCGCAAAGCTTTATCTTCCGTCACAGTTAACCGCAGAAGAGTGTCGACAAGTCAGCATGGCGGACTTGATTGAGACCGAAGCAAAATTGCGTTGGGGACAGTGTGCAGATGCACTGGCTGCCTTACGAGGGAGGCTTCATTCGAAGCAACACATGATTTGGTTTCGCGGGGAAAACATGGTGGGGCAACGTGCAAGAACGCGCTCCGTCACTCTAATGGCTCGGATGGAAGAAGGTGTAACAAAGGCCGCTGCCAAATATACTGAAGGCTACGAGGCTCTCGTTCACCTCAAAGGCAAACGTTACGCTCCCGAGTTTCAAAAATTGGACAAGACCCATTTGAACACTCGTATCGAAATCGAGAGTGATGCAGCAAGAAGCTTACGAACAGCAGACGGATCGCGACCTATGAGAGAGGAGACTGCTGCAAAAAAGAAGAAAACCAAGATGGCGCCAATTTCCTAGATTTGGGCAGCAGGCGGGCAGGCCGACGGGTTGAACTTCATGACTGTGAGTAACTATGGCTTGTTGACCATTTGCTTTCGGTTGAACGTGGTATCATAGCTATGCGTGTCGAGTGGGCAAAAGCACGTGCATGGAAGGAACGCTGGAACGAGGAGGTTGAATTGTTGTAGGAGGAGATGAAGCGGGTCATGCGATCATTGAAGTGGGAGGCTTCAGAATGGCAAAAACGAGCCGACGAAGTTCGTTCAGACGTTGATAGAACGACGGCGGCTGGAATCCGAGCTTATGCGCTGCGTAACGTGTACCTGCATACTGAATTTATAGTGCGCTTTCGAGAGGAGTGGGACAAAACAATGGGAGCTGCTGTCCGTCATTGGGCAGCAGAGGAGGAGCGGGAAATATTAGAGGGAACATTTATGGCAGAGGGAATGTAGAGAACAATGTTAAAATTGTATGATTCGGACCAAATCAGTCGTAATGATGATATCAAAGCTGCAGGATAAAGCGGAGTTCGGAGATCAGCGGCAAGGAAGCACGGAAACGGGTGGGGTTCGAGTGTTGTCAGAGACCTCAGGTGGCAACACACAGGGATGATGGAATCGGATTTTCTGGCAGTTCCCGGGGCTGATTGAAACAGGCTCCAGCCACGGGTGCGGCACAAAAGAGGGTTCTGACTCTAAGTCTCCAAACGCATTGCTGGGTGAGCATGGCAGAACTAGTGAACGTGAGGAATCCAACAATGCATCTCTGATCTGCGGAGAGGCTGGGCTGGAAGACAAGTAACCTACAGCAGCCTTAATAGGCAGGTCAAGAAATTGCGAGTTGTTGCTTGGGCCCAACACATCTGCCATGATGAGCACAGAGTAGTAAATCTATTTTTGCGAGTCAGCCAAAAGTATCAGTATAAAGTTGTTATCTATGACTACCAATTATCTATTGCAGCAAAAAGCTCTTGATTGTTGGAAGGGGTAAAAAGCAAATCAGACAAGGAAATATGTAAAGCTGAGAAACTTGCTAGAGAAGTTTGAATAGGCCAGGCCAGGCCATCTTCAATGCATAATCAAGTACTGAGGCAATTGTGGTTGTGCTGAGGCAATCCCGTATATAACCAGACTGTCGGTCGTGCTGTGGAAAGGCCCTCTACAACCAGCAGGAGCGGTCGTGCTGAGGCAAGTCCATATACAACCAGACTGTCGGTCATGCTGGGGAACGCCCTCTACAAGCAGCAAGAAAGTTGCATACTAGGGAGTATCAAATGAGCCTTAGCTATATAGATTATCTCACTCACAGTTTGTGTATATTTCACTGTAACCTGGTTCAGTGGCAGCAGCATGGCATAACTATCATAGCAAGATCAGCAATTGGACCCATTGCTGCTGCAACAGACATTAAACTCCATTGTCTGAGGCTGTGGTCTGGCAGCTTAGTGACAGAGAGAGAGACAGGGACATTGTGGACTAAGACAAAGATTAGTATGGAATATTAGGACTGGCTACTGCACACCTTGTCCTGGCTGCCTGGCATTCCCTGCCAAGGACCCTGACTTGCTCATGTCAAGGCCCAGCCAATTCCATAACCTCACCAACCTGCACCACTTGCACCGGTGCACAGATGACGAGCGGCTGTGCACGTGACAATCGGTAGTGCACGTGACAAGCAGCAGTGGCGCACATGACAAGGGGCGGACATGCAGCTATCGGCTGCCCACAATTGCTGGACACAATGGGCGAGTGGCACCTCTGTAGAAGCAAGACAAGCAGAAAACACCTCCTTTCTGCGCAAATAGGCCTTGGCATCACTCTTCCAACTTGGGAAAGAAGTGTCCTTAGCAAGAATAGGCATAACATCTGAGTTTGCCATTGGGTGGAATGAGAGAGAAGTGAATGGATGGAAATGAATCCAAAGCTAAAACCACTGCAAATAGGCAAGTGGCGCCCTCAGTAGTGTGTGTGGTGATGAGAGAAAGAGAGAGAGAGAGATAGTAGGTAAATGAGTAAGCAGTTGTAATCTCTCTTGAGATCGCAATCCCTAGACTCAGTGGGGTTACCACAATGTTGTCTAGTGACCCAAAGGATGCCTTATACAAGGATTACCCCAACAGTTCAAGCTCCTATATACTAGAGACCACCACACACACAAAGGACAGAGATGTTGAGCAGAGGGGAGTCTCACACACAAGGAAAAACACTCAGAAATAGCTCAGAGAGCGGGGCCCATAACCTGTTGAACAGGCAAGCACAGAGGTCTGAGGTCAACAGTGAGAAACTCTGTGCTTGCCTGTTCAACAAGTTATGGTTGTGTAGTGTCGGTCTCATCTCCGGTCTCCCCACCCGTCATCCTGTTGAACAGGCAAGCACAGAGGTCTGAGGTCAACAGTGAGAAACTCGAGACCTCAGAGCAAAACTAGACTACTTATAGATGTATGAGTATGTATCTAGTATGCATCTAGTATGTATCTAGTATCAATCTAGGAAGGATGTGTAACAGTAAAGGAACAATATGTATCAGATATGTATCAGATAGCTAACAGAGTCCATGTGACACAGAGATAAGACGAGATTGAGAGAGATAAGACAAGATAGAATGAGACTGAATGAAGCCAATAGCATGGTTTTCAACAACCTTATAAGGCTAATCCCAATAAGGAGAATCCTAAAAGAATCCTAAGAATCCTAAGTATACCTAATTTGGTAATAAACCACTTTGGGCGCAAAATCAAGGCTTTTCAGGAAGACAAAGGTGGAGAGTACATGTCTAATAAGTGGGATAGAGGAGTCGTCAGCTTCAGATGCGCTGCCTGTGCAATGTTTGTGTCCTTGAACGAGAGTTCCAGCTCCGCAATGAGGTTGTCGAATGTATGGCTCGGTATCACTGGGGGCAAATTGTCTTTTTCTACCCTGGAAAAAGTTGAGAAAAATCAATATTTTCTGGCTATTTTTCCCATCTTTTTCCACCCTGGAAAAAGTTAAGGAAAAAGCTTATTTACTGGCTATTTTCTCATCTTTTTCCATAGTGGAAAATAACTTATTTTCTTATTATTTTCTTCTTATTTTCATAACTTTTTCCAGCCTAGAAAAAAACTCTTTTTCTGGTGCGGAAAAAGTTGAGAAAAAGTTGATAATTTGGTAAACTTAGGATTTTCAGGATTTCTGGTTATATAAACTTCTTCTTGTTGTTCCTAGGCAGCTGAGTTTCTTTTCTTACAGTTCTAGTTGCGATTATTATATCTGTCCTTCCACTCTATACTTAAGTTTATGATTGGTCCCTTTGTCATGTGACAATACAGTCATGTGTTGAGAAAGACTGTCCTGGCAGAATGTGACCGTGGGAAAAGTCACATGAGATCATTTTGAGGTTTGAAACTGTCAATTGTTGTGTTTTGTGCTGTGAAGCAGGTCTAAGACAGTACTTGACTGGTGCTTGAATGTTGCAAGGAGTTTTCTTAATCATTTCCCAGGGAAGAAAGAGCGGGTTGTGTAAGCATTGACTGATTGATCTCAAGATATTACGTAGAGGTCGTGTGTTATATCTGTGCATCCATCAAGAGCTGCAGCCCACGGCCGGCCACGGTCCACCAGGCTCCGGCCCGATCCGATCCGGTCGCTCTGGCGACCTTGTACTCTGTCTGTCCTTCGCCTTGTTACTTACATCTCTGTATATCCTTATGCTTGTTACTTTCCATATGCACTCTGTACCTTGTACTTACTTATGGTCTTCACTTTCTACTTACTCGTAGTATTTAAGCAGCTAAAGTAGCTATGGTACTTTAGCTTGATTATAAACGTTACTTGCACTCCTCCTCTCTGTGTGGAACGACTCCGACAACTCTCCTCTCTTCTCCTGTCCTTCAACCGGACTACTCTCTATTCACGGACCTTGTCCGCTCCGACTCCGCTCCGGTCCGGTTGGTCTTGTGTTCTTTCGTGTCAGGCAGCTACTGGCTTGTTAGCTATAGTAGAAACCCCCTCTGTTCTGCACGGCACTTGACAGTATAATCAAGCTAAATCTGTCTGGCTCTGTTTTTCCCTCATGTCTCACGACAACTCCCAACAACATTTCTCACCCAATCCTCATCGGTTTCCGACTCGTCCGCGATGGCCTCAACAGTCGTCTCCTCCGGCTCCTCTGGTTAACTTCTACGAGGGCCTAAATCTACAAGTCCAAGCTGATCGACGTTCTTCTGCTCTGTTTTCTTCGTTTCCCCCTGGGAATCTTTACAACACCCCTCCTGCTTTCCACGCTCCCATTCAGCAACCAATCTCGCCCTCTCCGTTGCCTCAAGGCGCTTCGTACGTCACTTTGCGCCCTTCAGCACATCAGTCCTTAGAACCCAACTTCGGACGACGCTCCGCTCCTCACCCCCTCGACTTATATGGATCCGCCTGTTCCGCCTCTCCCAGTCAACAATCCTATTCGGCAGTTCAATGCTGATGTCTCTGGCTTACGCGGAACCCTTCCGGCCGATCTGGCTCAGGAAATTCCGGATCACAACCGGTTTTCCCGAATCGATGAGGAGGTAGAGCAACAAGGTGAAACCATTCCTCCTCCTGTTGAAACAGAGGAACAACATGGTACTGGTTCTGGCCCTACTAATCCTGGTGGGCCAGGTGGGAATGGCCCTGGTTCGCCCAGCGGTCGTAACAGCCTGCTTGGTGAAGGTCCTGGTGGCCCTGGAGGTTCAGATGACCCAAATGGTCCTGATGGTTCTGACGGACCTGACGGTCCGGGTGGCGGCGGTGGCCCAGGAGGTGGCCCCGGCGGACCTGGTGGTCCTGGCGGCGGTGGTCCTGGAGGCGGAGGTCCTCCGGGAGGTAATCTGCCTGGTGGTCCTGGTGGTCCTGGTGGTCCTGGTGATCCGGGTGCCCCTCCGGCACCTAGGGGACCTACTGATGGAGAGAGAATGGCAGCTAGCATCGTTTCTGGTCTGGCTGCCCTGGCTGCTGCGATCAACACTATGTCGCAAAATCAGGCCATGGCTCAACAATTCTCCTTCAAGACGT